AACCTGGCGTCATAGAAGTAAGGATGGAAATATGTCAGACTCTTTACTATAGCAAGGAGTTCCCTTCATGTTACACAGTAGTTCCTCTCTGGTCTACTCAGGACCCTACTGAAGTAGGCCACCACATGTTCGTTTTCACCCACTTTTTGAGACAACACTCCTCCAATTCCGACATTACTAGCATCACAATCCAGTATGTACGGCAGTGAAGGATTTGAAAGCTTTAAAAATGGAGCTGAGGCCAATTTTTCTTTCAGTGTCTTGAAAGAATGCAGGCAAGAAACTGTCCATTCAAACTTCTGGCCTTTTTTGGTCAAATCATGTAGCGGAGCAGCTATAATTGCAAAGTCCTTCACAAACTTCCGGTAATAGGTACAGAGTCTCAAGAAACTTCTTAACTTAAAATATTGTATTTTAACTTGGGAAGTACAGAAGCAGTATAGCTTTTCATTAACTTCAACACATGAAGTCCATCAAGACAATTTATCCCACCAGGCTAAAACTGCTGCCTTCATAGCGACTGCCATTAATTAAAATATTCATTGGTATTGTTTATAAAAAATGGAGGAACAAGTAAGAATGTTTTATTTTTTTTTGAAAAATAAAGATGATGTAGGGATGGCAATGCCAAAAAGTATAGAAACAAGGTAGGGAAGAATTCACAAAACCATACAAAAATCTATACATTAGTAGCCACTGAGTCAATGTTACAAGCTTATGGGGATAGCTTTATACCATTATTCAGTATAATCGCTTTTATTCAAACCCGAATTCATGTAAATGAAAAGAATTCAACATTTAGTCGTAGATAAAAGTTTTTCTTGGAAATTTTTGGCTACTTATGTAGGGGTTTTTGTATGGTTTTGTGTAGTCATCCCTACATTGTTTATGTATTTTTTGGTATTGTGATCCTTACACCATTCTTATTTTTTCTCAAAATGTTTTTTATTACCTCTTTATATTGATTTGTTTACTGGTAGAGGCAAATGTTAAAATTGTACTTTTCTTGTCGACTGAATATATATATATATATATGCACTCCATTTCAATATAGATTATGTATATTTATATTTAATGTAAATAACCTCAGAATATTTAACTCAACTTCTGATGTATTAAGATTTTGTTTTGTTTTTATTTTAAGCCATTCAGTTTTTACAGATAATACGAAATGTTAACAACAAAACTGTTTCTCTCTTTGTGATCAATCAAATCAAACAAAATGCGGTCTTTTGAAATAAATCACGTACCACCAAAGGCAATGACGTCAAAACTCCAGCAACTCAGTTACATGACGTCAAGTCAGCGCCAAACGACTATAACCTTGAGAAGTCGGGCAACAAAATTTAACATAATATCGGACACGCGACCGAAGGCGATTATTGTATATACACACGCTAAGAAGAAAAGCCACGAGTGTAAGCTAATAAAAGAAATCATATAAGACTCAAAATACAGAAATAAAAGTCACGACATGAAGCTTGTCTTTTTTACATGTTTTATACTGCAGAAGGCCTTGAGAAACCAGTTCAAGCACTAGTACCTAATTATCTACATTTTCAACCATTTCAGTAGTATATCATATGACAGAAAAAAAAATGAATAAAAAATGATTTATATGTTAGAATTAAATAGCTAAGTTATTAAATTTATATATTTCGTATTTTTAGGATTTTCGAATTCACTAGGTGATTGAATTTGCCTTACAGAAAACCACGGTAGAAACTTTAGGTTAGCAGTATGTTTATGGACTTACAACACTAAAATCCGTGGTCCGATTCTCCACGGCGAACAGAACGCAGATAGTCCATTGTGTAACTTTGCGCTATAACAAAAACGACTAGTCACCTGCTGATTCTTATTGACTAAATTAAATTGTGGAAGAAAACCTTGCAATATCTTTTGTAGGGAAAAAATTAAACTCAGTTCATATGGAAAAAATATCATTATGATAACAGCGAGACTACCTAAGTGTTGATTCAGTAAAGTTTAATCATTACAAGTTTCAACTTTTCTAATTGCTAAGATTGTCCTTTAAGGTTGCTGTCAGGGTCAGCCACCCGAGTGTAAAAATTCTTGGTTAACACAAAATATCCGAGCGTCCGACCCCACAACTGAACGGAATTAAGGTGGAATGAAGAAAAACAGTGCTGTGATTATTCTTCTAATTGGTTGTAGTCTTTCCAGTTATACTGTAATACCTAATTTACATTAAATCTAATATATTTGATTAATTAGCACTACCGAAGTGTCTTTATTAATATTTTTATTCAAAGACACCCTAGCTGTAATTAAGACTTTTACTTGCTTCTTTTCATACATTATTATTAAATAGTAAATAGGTGTAATTCAAGATAAGTCACTTTTTCTTTTTTTTTCTATATGGAGGCTAGGTAGTTGTCTACTCAAGTATCGTTTAGCACGTCTCTGCTAAACGTTTTGTTGCTTTCAAAACCGACAACTTCGCGATCGTTAATAGGGCTAAGGTTGAGCAGTAGCAACAGTCTGAGATTGTTAAACTGAAGCCGAACCTATTGATCGGTAGTTTGTGTGAGATTACATCTCAACAAGACTGATAATAATTTTTTACAAATCTTTCTTTACTGGCCTTCTACTATTGTTGCATTCCCAGCCGATCCGATGAGCTCTGGTATTGATCGAAAGGCCTAGTCGTCTGTGACGTGCGGAACACAAGATGTGCGGTCGAAATGCTATTATATATATATATATATATTTCTTTTACTGGAATTTCCTAGAACTTCAGGAGTTGCAGTTGTGACTGCTATGCCTACGCAGAGTTTATTAACTGGACATGAGAGCTCTGAGCAAAGGCTATATTGTGAGAAATCTAAGTAGGTAATATTTCATTCCTTTGCTGAGCTTATATTTAAATTCTCAATTAAACTGTTATACAAAAGTTTTCTTACACTGCTATAAGAAACCATTTGGTATTACCAGGGGTCGCTTCCAGTAGCTTGAGAAAAGAATGACAGCAATCAGTATCATTCAGTTAGCCATAAAGTCAAACTTCTAGTCACCACCAAAAGACAGCAGTGATGGGAGAAGTAAAATTTATCTGTAAATAAAATTTCCTTTTTAGGACTTTATGACACTGAAAAAATTATTTTCAGACATTTTGTGATGTAATGTGATCCAAACTACCGATCTAAAGATCACGCATTGCCGGCATAAGGCATAATAAGTGATGCCTAGTATAAATAATCAGAACTCTGATTCTACTTTTCTCAATACTTAGAAGTTTAAAACACATTTGGTTATAGAAAGAGAGTTTCACAAATACCACGGCATATTTCGATACATGTTTGGACTAGCATTTATGATGAGCTAAAATTCACTTAATTGTGTAAATTCTTAACACTATTGTTCTGTAGATATTCTAATTAGTTTACAATATTATTTTCAACGTCCATTAGTTATACAAGTTATTAAACTATGCAAATTCTTAAAACTATTATTATGTATATATTTTTAATTAGTTTACAATATTGTTTCAGCAACCGTTAGTTACACAATTTATTAAAACTAATAATTAATTAGAGATTTATTTATCTAATTAATAATTAGATAATTAATTATAAATTAATTAATTAATTAATTTATCTAATTTATCTTTAGAGATTAGTTAGAAATTTCCTTAGTGATATAAAGTATTAAAACATGTTGTTAAGCACAAAACTATACAATGGTCTTCCGGCGACCCAATTTTTAGAGTTATAACCTCTCAGGCTTACAGCTGAACCATCGAGAGCCTATATTCTGTAAAAGTGACCGAATTATTTTCACAGATTGCACAACCTAGTTAGGGTTACACTTTGTATTTTCTATTAGCCAGTGTTGACTTTTGTATTATTACCCGGATGTCCGATTTGAAAGAGAATATTTGAAATAATAATATGTTAGATAAGATTTGCAGCACTGTCTTACAGTAACGATCATCTTAACAAGACAGTTTTTTTCTTCAACATTGTTTTACCGTAACGGCTCCTGTTAAAAACAAAAGCTTTTTATATTTAAAGCACTGTCTTGTCATAATGGGCTCTGTTTAATGTGTTAAAACCAACTTAGTTGGAATTAGAATGAATTCTTTATCTCGTGATCGCGATATTAATCGTAAACTTCAAAATGACCGAGAAAAAACTGCGACTGAGTTATTATTGATACAAATATAATAACATAGCCTAATATCGCTTTTCATATAAATGAAAGCCAAAAAGAAATAGCTCAAAAACTGGTAAATATGAAAGTTTCTTAGTAACTTACACAATATTTCTGTTGTATAAGACTTATGAATAACAAATGCCAACCCATTATTTCAGCCAGATCAGTGTACTGTTACACTCCCTGGTGAACAGTTTGTAGACTGTGTAGTATTTTTGTCTTGTGGGAACATTACTAAATCAACGTAACATCCGACTAAGACTTAACTCTAGAAATGAAATGTAGATACTCATGTTCGAATCCGGTTAAACCACAATTATTCCATCTGGCATGGAAAAAATTACCAGAAAATAATCATTAATGATGATAGTTCTGTAGAATGTAGAACAAGAGTGGCTTTGAACATTTCTTTTGAATGCGACATCGTTACATTTACAGGATATTGGAGACGTTTATTTTCTTCTGAATGCGATGCAGGCAAATGTTATGGTACATGATCTAACTGTTCGTTCTGCCATCCGGGTGTGTTGTCTGCTTTGTTATCTTAAAACGGCAATCAATAAGATGCAGACACACATCGGTCAGAAAAGAATACTGTAATACATTTTGCTGTTGTTGTACCTATGGGTGATACCATATGTATTATTAAAAACGTATTCAGAGAAACTATAACCAACCAAGTTGACTAATCTTACTCTAGGACACTAAGACAGTGGTATCTTACTCTAGGACACTAAAACAGTGTTTAACGCTTAAACAACAACTAAAACAGTGTTTAACGCTTAAACAACAAGCATATAAAATTCATAGATTCTACGTACCGTTAAAACGAACACAGTATTTTCCATCTTTTGCCAGTTCCGTTTCTACCAGGGTCTGACTCTGAAAGAATACGTATAAAAAGAAATATTATTAAATTTATGTTTCAATCACTCTTCAAAAACATGTAAGTATAAAAGAAATAAAATGTCTTAAAGAAAACCGCACCAAAATAAAAGCTTATAATACAATCGTTTTTAACATGAACACATAAAATACATATAAAGCATATTATATGGATACATGTTAGCACTGAGGTTTAATTACATTCTACAAAGACGATGCTGTTGGTTTCGTGCTGCTTTTGGAACTACTTCTTCCATCGTAGGTCGTGCTCAGTCAGAGGGCTACAATTATGCACTATTGCTTGTCACCACTATTGATATTGTAACAAACTTTAGTACAGGACGATGGAGTGAATCTTAGACCATACACTTGGACAACGTTCCACAGACTTTCTACTGTACGTAAATAACAGATACCACAATCATGAGTGAACAGATCAAGGAAATGTAAGCCCATTAGAGTTGCAACGGTTTTTTTGTTTGAAGTTAAACACAAAGCTACACAATGGGCTATATGTACCCTGCCCATCACGTGTATCGAAACCTGGTTTCTAGCGTTGTAAGTCCGCAGACATACCGCTGTGCCACTGGGGAGCGAGTTGCAACGGAGAACTTGAAAGGAACGTGGTCGAATCGTAATACTGTAATTCCAGTTTATCCAGCCATTTATCTAGATATGTGGAGGAAAACGTATAATTTATTTTAGCGCGTAAGCCTTCGTAATGTTGAAATTATTTTTGGGTTAGAGGGTTCTTTTCTGTAAACATATCGCTAAATGCGCTGCTATTCTTCTGCCCTTTAGCTCTAAGTCACTTAACAATTTCGCTATACAAATACCCTTTCTTTAAAATGGTTTTAGCATATTGCTATAGTCTTCTGGGGACATTGCATTGTCGATTGGTCAGGGATTGGCAGTGAACTAAATAATTAATTGCTAATTATACCTCTCGTCACCGTTCACCTATGCGGTGGCATCCCACTGCATCAGTGTATACAAACCATTTTTAAAAAGTTCGATTAACCCTTTCTGTATTTCGAAAAAAAATATCTTAACCACATTTCAATACGTAGAAGAAACTCAAATTTAAGCCTTTGTTATAAATTAACTAAATTAATTGCTCTGTAATTGAAAATATGATTATGCTTATGAAATCAAGAAGAACTAATACATTTAGAAATAAAATTCATTTTTGTTACCATGACCATAAGTCACTCTCTTTCCGATTATATTATCTCGTATTCTCAATTAAATCCCGCAAGTAATCTTTTAATCCTGATACATGATAAAAGTAGATATGACGGCTTAAAATAGACATAATGTGTCAAAAAGATGGCTATAGTAGCTTATTTAATAGCTACCATTCTTTTAAGAGCATAGCCCTAGATACGAATGTGTTAAAACCATTTAGGTTATCTGTCACAGACGTTTCAACTTCTCTTCCATATCCAGGCGCTTCTCAGTTTCTATATAGAGAAATAGATATATCTTAAACTCGTTCGTTCCCACTCATGGCATTCACTTTATTGTTACTCCTTGATCACCAACTGGCTCTTTAATGTTAACATGAGTATTCTTAGCATAAAGGAAGGTTCTGATTGATTTCGATAGTAGAATTTATTTTTCTCTTTATAGGACACTGCATGCATATTGCCACATTATTTAAGATGTATGTAAATAAGGATCAACTAGCTTTAGGGTTTAAAATAGATCTATCACCACCAATTTTTGGAGCTTTTGCGACCGACAGTATGGTTTGCCCCGTTTACCTAAAACTAATATTACATAAACTATTACTTTTAATTGCGTTAAATAAATCATCAAAATTAAGGCGAAAGACAAAATGCTAATAAAAATAAAGCTGTTTAAAATTCTTATAATAATATTTTCAAGTTCTGAAGTCAGCCACTTTAACTTACAGAATTCCACATATAATGTTGCAAATTAAGTATCTCGAATTTTTGAGATTAAGTTTTTTCTTTTTTTTAATGGGCCAGGTATGTCCCAGCGGCTAGGGTACCCAGACTGTCAATCTGAACTTTGAAGTAGTGGGTGCGTTAAGTGTGGTGACCCCGTGGGTCAGAGGTAAGTTTATAGACTTACAAGACTACATTCTAGGATACAATTCTACGTGGTGTACAGAGTGCATATAGCATTTTGTAGTTTGCACAAAAACAAACAAGCTTTCAAAATTGGGAGTGACTATACGTAGAAAACCGTTATGTGGTTTTACGCAAACATTTTGAAACACAAAAAATTACTTATGAAAAAATATTTGAACAAAATTTAGAATAGCTTTGGAAATATTTTACACTATCTTGACGACGGTTTAATTTACATAAAGCTTTAGAATTTTTTATGAAGAGTTTATGCAAAGTTAATTTATCGTTTTAGTTAAACTCCAAATTGTAATCATTGTTTTACAATACTCTCAAAAAACATCATTTATCGTTTTAGTTAAACCTCAAATTATAATCATTGCTAAGTAAAACAATACTCTCAAAAACATCCTTTATCGTTTTAGTTAAACCCCAAATTATAATCATTGCTAAGTAAAACAATACTCTCAAAAACATCCTTTATCGTTTTAGTTAAACCCCAAATTGTAATCATTGCTAAGTAAAACAATACTATCAAAAACATCTAAAGTTGCATTTCAGATTATCAACAAACGAAATAATAAGTTTTCTATAACAACATATAACTGAGATATCTATAAGGTAAAAAAAAGCTAAATAAAGAAAAAAATACAACATAAGCACACAATTATTCTAAAGCAGAAATTACAAAAATATTCCCAAATGAGTTTTAACCACTGTAACTTTAACCTTTTGGTCGCAGTTTTAGAAAGAAAATACTTTTACTGAAATGGGAAGTACTGTCGGATATAAAGGATTTTCCTCCACCAATCACATAAATCTTTTGATGTCAGCAACAAAGCCTCATGAATAAAGCATTAGAGTTAAAGCTATGTGAAAGAAATTCCACACTCTTAAAAAAATGGCTACTTTTACGATAATATTCAAGGCCAAATTTAGAGAATGTATTTTTTAACTTTTTTGTTAGATTATATAAGAGTAGTCTTGAAACTATCGTCATCGTTGTTTTAGACGTTGTATTAGTAATATCCTTTCATTTTCTTTCCTTTGCACTTATGACTTTCTATTTAATATTAGTCACATTTTCTTTGTTGAATTAAATTCTATAATAATGATTTTTTTGTTCTATTTTCGTATTAATTACTCCTTTTTTTGTTTCTTAGATAACTTTCTAAAGAAGTGACTTTATTTGTTCTGTTATTTCTTCTTTCTTAGATTAGTTTTAATATTCCTGACCTTCACTATGTTCATCGTCTTGTTATCAATAACTGCTAATCAAAGCGAGCTACGTAGATTGATCAGAACACCAGAACTCAAAATTAACCCAGTTATTAATAAAGTTGAATTAATATAACGTTCTGACCAAGAGTACGCACTATCACAAAAATAAATCATTACAGCTAGAATTCATCAGCCGGGTACTCTCGCTTTTAGCAAGTATTTCGGCCGCAATCTCGTGATATTTCACTTAGTTTGGTCAAATTAGGAGATTTAGTTTAATATTAAAAATCATACACTAAACTAACAAAACAAAATAAACTCTATAGAAATGTAGAAAATAAAATAAGAAAAGACAAAATAAACACCTTATATATATATACCATTTTAACCAATACTTTCAATGAAAATAACTTTATGGAAGGAATGGAATATGGCTTACGTGTTACGAGCCTTTAAGAGCCCCCTCAGTGGCACAGCGGCATGTCTGCGGAGTTACAACGCTAGAAACCGAGTTCCGATACCTGTGGTGGGCAGAGCACAGATAGCACTTTGTGTAGCTTTGTGCTTAACTAAAAACAAACAATCAGCCTTTAAGAAATGTTTGTTCTTGTTTATTCGCGGATTAATATTTATAGTTAAGACGATTTACGTTTTTGTAATACATAATGTCCTCTTATGACATTATAAATATTTTCCTTTGAGTATTTTTTACAATTATAACTTGTTGATTTTGTAGACAAAGAAGTATTTGTCTTTTTTTTTTTCTTGGATTACTTTTATAGTTAAAGCTCATTTCTTTTTTTCCAAACTTTTCTATCTTTATAATTTTCCTTTTCTTTATTTTACCAGTAATTGTAATTTATTTCCGTTTTTTTTTTCGTTCGAACCATTCCTCATAGTTCTTCTCTTTTTTTCTCTACATTTTCGCAGCCGTAGTTCTTTGATTTTTATTATACATTAGCAGTTTATTTTCGTTCTTATTCCTGTTAATTATTCTTGTTAAATCTAAAGTAACTAACTATTTTCAATGAAACAAAATATTTTTGGCTCACTGTTTTTCATCAGGAGTTCTTTTGTATTACTTAGAAAAGAAAATCTTCTAGAAAACTTCAAAGTCGTGAAAAACGTATCTTAACCAATTCCTAGTATTTTTTCCGCAAGTATGGATGTGTAAGTATACCCTACCGTATGAGGAAAACACATCATGCTACACACAAACAAGTGGAAGTGAAAGATCTGAAGGAAGTCGTCACATATATCTTCTAGTTATTTAAAACTTTATAATCCCAAAGGTAAGTAGATAAGCCAGATACGTTTAAATATTTAGTGTATTTGTGAAGTGATGTAAGTAAAATTTTAACAAGATATCAGGAGGTGCTAGAAGTAAATATTGAGTAAGGAATAAAACGAACCATGTTTAGCTATTCAAAGTAATCTTTTTCTTGTTTTGTTTTTCTACACTTTATTACAAAACCAAACAATGTGACCTGTCAATAACTAAACAAGTTAATGCGCACTTTACGGACTACACACACAACAAAACCCTTAAGGCCATGTAAAACACTAAGAAAACAGTCCTTCAAAGTTTAATGTGCACTTCAGACGATTATACGCAGCAGAACCCATAAGGCCACACAAAACACTAACAGAGACAATCCTTCAAAGCTGTACATCAAACAA